GTTCGGTAGGGGGTCTACAACTTCCACGGCTCTTGCGAATCGCCTAGTGCACAGGTGTCAAACATAAGGCCCGGGGGCCAGATCCAGCCCTCCAAGTCCTTTAATGTGGCCCTTGGGTGATTTTCTGCTAAAATATTTTAATTATATTTTCTATTAAAATATTGTTAATTTTCTGTGGTGTTTATCACAGCAGCGTCTCCAGCGTCTCTGTACGTGGCCCCCTCCCACCAGAGCAGCACAAATGAAAGACTTGTCTCTTTCCAAACGCTCTTAAAGGACGATCGTTTTGACTGTTGACCGTGACACCCTCATCAGAAAATGTCCAACATGAGAAAAGTGGAGCCGAGTGCAGGATTTTACAAGAAAAATGTACTTATTCCTATTTACATACAAGTTCATGTTAAAACTTTTATTGAAATTACATTTTTCTTAAAGTTTCAGGTTGTTCATAATATTATAATATTATTAATAAGAAAGAGTTCATCAATTAAAAAAGATTTCTGTAATAGATTTGAATTTCTCTGCACAAATATTTGAACTTATTGTTTTTTGGGGTTTATATGACATGAGTTTTCTGATCCGGCCCCTTCGGGATCAAAGTAGGTTGGATACGGCCCCGGACCAAAATGAGTTTGACACCCCTGGCCTAGTGTATCGTATTTTCTGGGCTATTAAGCGCTCTGGATTATAAGGCGCACTGTCATTAAATGGTCTATTTTCGAACTTTTTTCACAAATAAACCGCACCGGACTTTAAACGAAACAGTTGGATGGGTCAGTGGGACTTTGTTTGTGGCGTTCACGGTGACTCTGGGCTTTGTTCAGTTGTGGCGTGTAGGGAGGGTGCTGTCTGGGACCAACGGATTGTCGGCGTGTTCGCAGTGACTCAGTTGTTCAGTCGTGTCTAGAAGTGGCACACTGCGCTCGCTTTTTCGGTTCGTTCCTCCGTTCCGTTCCTCGAGTGATGAGTGTGTCTGTGGGTGTTTTTCGTTGTGCGGTCGCTGTCTGCTCCGTGTGTGTTTGCGTGTTCTGTGGGTGGTGCGGCTTTGTAGTTTACTGAAGTCGTAATAAGTAAGTCGTAAAAAATATGGTATTCTGATTCCTGATCTAGTCGCTGGAGAGAAATTAAATTGAGCGGAGGAACTAGGTGGTGCCAGCCTGGCTAGGAATGATTCACAGTATGGCATTAAACTCATTTATTTCCATGGAAAGAAGCAGGTAACCTCACCAGGTCAAGTTACATGTCGCACCTGTGGAGAGGCAAGCCCACTCACAGTAATGCATGTTTTTTATCAATAGTAAAACACCTGTAATTAAATAAACGCAGATGGGTTTAAAGGTCCTGTATTACACAAAATGGACTTTAAGTTATAATGTTGTTACCTCTTCAAAAACACACCTGGGGTTTTGTTTTGTTTCATTCACACATGTTTGAGAAATCATTTATTATTAGTTTGTCTACATCTCAAAAGCTCAAAATGCTCTGTTCAAACTTGTGATGTCATGAAGTGGTAGTTTTGAAATGAACAGCTGCCTTTTACATTTTGATCAGTAGGTCCGAGGTGTGAGGACCAGTTCCAGCTCTCGGGGCCTAAGACGAGACCTTATGTCTTGAAGTGTTAGTTTTACCTTTTGTTTAGAAGATATATTTTGGTAATTCCAGGTCTGAAATGATTCAAATGTTTCTAGCGGTTTTTGCTTTAATTTGGTTTTTACTAGTTTTTAATGTTTTAGGACTGGTATGATAATTTTTTTTTTAGCAATTTACCTTTTTGTTGTGTTTATTTTATGATCTCTGTGCAGCACTTTGGGAACAGCTTTGTCTGTAAAATGTGGTATATAAATAAAGTGGATTTGAGGCTACGTTTACATGATGACGGTCTGAACAGAAGACGCAAAAGTGGCGTCGCGTCTTCACTTTTTATTCCGCGTTTAGACGAGCGTTTTCGGGAGGAAATCTGCGTGCACACGGTGACGCAAAAGTGTGTGGAATTCGAGTGACTATGCATGCCAGGTTTCTTCTTTTGTACTGTATGTATGTGACGTAAATGCGTACGCGACGTGAGCAGATCTGACCAGAGTTTTGCGTCTTGGGCAGTGTAGACGGAAACGCTGCGACGGAGAATATTCAACTTTTCCACTCTAGAGAATGGTTTCAGATTTTTGCGTTTTTAAGCCCCAAAAACGCCATCATCGTCTAAACAAAAGCCACTTCCGATAAAATATTTTGTCGTTTTTACCCGCAAGCGTTGGCCCTGAATTTTATATTTTTATAAAGTGATGGTGTATGGACTTTAAAAACACAATGGAGCACTTCTTGTATTACCACATGACATCACAAGGTGGTTTAGAGCATTTTCAGTTTGAGAGAAGAACCTAAATATGCAGGGTTTGTGTGTTAAACATGTGTGAATGAAACAAAACACAACTCCAGGTCTGTTTTTTTATGAAGAAACTGCATTAAAACAGATCAGAAAACAGCGTAACATGGGCCCTTTAATGCCACACTGCGGAACATTCGAGGCAAAGCGATAACATCTAGACAGGAGTAAGCAGAGACGACCCCCAGGAAATGACTTTTGAGAACTGCCATGATAAGTTAATTTCTACTTTCAAAATCACCAAATAAAATCCTGTTATATTTTATTGTATTTATTTATCTGAACTGGCAAAAGCGAGGAGAAAAACCGGTACGGAACAAAACAAAACGATGAGTCAAAGCAGCGAACACTGGCTCCATCTAAAAGTGACACATAATAGGAGCTGATGGTGGAGCGAGCGAGACGTGTGAGAGGAGGAAGTGTTTTCAGCCAAAGAGGAATCACAACAGATTGTATTTACTACAGCCTTCATCCTGCCATCCGCTGTTTACTCTAACACCGGAGGAGGAGAGAGAGGGAGGGAGACGGAGGAGAGAGGAGAGAGAGGAGAGAGAGAGAGAGAGAGAGAGAGGGAGAGAGACGGAGAGGAGAGAGAGGGAGAGAGACGGAGGAGAGAGAGAGACGGAGGGAGAGAGACGGAGAGAGAGAGAGGGAGGGAGAGAGAGACGAGAGAGAGAGAGAGGGAGAGAGAGAGAGAGAGAAGGAGAGAGAGAGAGAGAGAGGAGAGAGGGAGAGAGAGAGGGAGGAGAGAGAGAGAGGAGGGAGGGAGAGAGAGAGGGAGGAGAGGAGAGAGGGAGAGAGGAGGAGAGAGAGAGAGGGGAGAGAAGAGAGGAGAGAAAGAGAGAGAGGGGAGGAGAGGAGAGAGGGAGGGAGAGAGAGGAAGGAGAGAGAGGGAGAGGAGGGAGAGAACGGAGGGAGAAAGAGAGGGGAGAGAGAGAGAGAGAGGAGAGAGAGGGAGAGAGAGGAGAGAGAGGGAGAGGAGGAGGGAGGGAGAAAGAGAGAGAGGAGAGAGAGGGAGGGAGAAGGGAGGGAGAGAAGGAGGAGAGAGAGAGAGATGGAGGGAGGGAGGGAGGGAGGGAGAGGATAAAGAGAGAGGAGAGAGAGAGAGAGGAGGAGAGAGAGAGAGAGAAGGAGAGGAGAGAGAGGGGAGAGAGGGGATAGAGAGGGGGAGAGAGAGAGAGGAAGGAAGAGAGAGACAGGGAGGGAGAGAGGGAGAGGAGAGAACATGGAGGGAGAAAGAAGGAGAATAGAGAGAGAGTGAGGAAGGGAGAGGAGGGAGAAAAGAGAGAGATGAGGGAGAAGAGATGGAGGGGGAGAGGGGAGGAGAGGGAGAGAGAGAGAGAGAGAGGAGAAGAGAGAAGAGAGAGAGAGAGAGGAGAGAGAGGAGGAAGGAGAGAGAAGAGAGGATGGAGAGAGAGGGAGAGGAGAGGGAGAGAGGGAGAGGGGAAAGGAGAGAGGAGAGATAGAAGAGAGAGGGAGGAGATAGAGAGGGAAGGAGAGGAAAAGAGAGGGGGAGAGAGAAGATAGAGAGGGGGAGAGAAGAGAGGAAGGAAGAGAAGACAGGGAGAGGGAGGGAGGGAGAGAGGAAGGTAGAAAGGGAGAGAGGGAGAGAAACGTGGAGGGAGAAAGAAGGGAGAATAGAGAGAGAGTGAGGAAGGGAGAGAGGGAGAGAACAAGGGAGGGAGGGAAAAAGAGAGAGTTATGAGGGAGAAGAGATGGAGGGAGAGAAAAGAGGAGGGAAGGAGAGGGAAGAGATGGAGGGAGGGAGAGGGGATAAAGGGAGAGAGGAGAGATAGAGAGAGGGAGAGAAGAGAGGGAAGGAGAGGAAAAGACAGGCAGAAAGGGAGAGAGAGGAGATAGAGGGAGGGAGGGAAAAGACGGAGAGGAGAGAGGAAGGAAGGGAGGGTAGAGAGGGGGGAAAGGAAGAAAGGAGATAGAGGGATGGAGGAAGGGAGGGAGAATAGAGAGAGGGAGTGAAGAAAGGAGACCAGAGAGAGGGAGGGAGAGAGCAATGGAGAGGAGAGAGGAAGGGAGAGGGAGGGAAAGAGAAGAGATAAAGGGAGAGAGGAGAGATAGAGTGAGGAAGAGAAGAGGAAAAGAGAGGGAGAGAAAGAGGGAAAACAGAGAGGGAGGAGAGAAGAGATGGAGGGAGGGAAAGAGGGAGGGAGGGAGAGGGGAGAAAGAGAGACAAGAGAGGGAGAGAGAGAGAAGAGAGGAAGGAAGAGAAGAGAAGAGAGGGAGAAAGAGGAGACAGAGGGAGGGAGGAAAAGACGGAGAGGGGAGAGGAAGGGAGGAAGAGACAGGGAAGAAAGAAAGAGAAACGAAGAGAGAGAAGGTAGAGGTAGGAAGAAAGGAGAGAGGGGGAAGTAGGGAGTGAGAGAGAGAAGAGAGTGGGAGGAGAGAAGGGGAGAGAAGAGAGAGAGGGAGGGAGGAGGAAGTGAAATGGAGAGGGGGGAGACAAAAAAAAAAAAGGAGAGTGTGAGAGAGAAGGGGATAAAGGAGCAATGCAGAGGAGGAGAGAAAGTGACAAATAGAGGGATGGAGATAAAGCAGAGAAAGAGGGAGAGATAGAGGATGGATAGAGTGAAAGCAGAGAAAGCAAACAGAGAGATGCACTCACCTTGACCATGCCAGTGTTCTCCGAGCAGCTGTTCATCATGTTGTTAAAAGATGTGAAGAGGTTACGTAAGGACTCCATGAAGTCTGCCTCTCCTTTGTTTTCATACAGTCTGGAAAAGAGGGAGAGAAAGAAAGAGAGAGAGAATTACAATACTGGCAAAATAGACTGCATATATAAATGTTTACATGTTTCATTTCAGCCCTGGATTTGCCAAATTTTGAAGTTACAGCTATTGTTTTAGCCCCATTTACGCTGTTTCACTCCTCAGATAAGATGTTACTTTCTGCGACGATCCCAACTGAACAAAAAGCAAAACAAAAATACTAAAAAAAGAAACAACTTAAGGTCATGCAACAGTATTAAAGGGAAATGCTGTTCAAATGAGGTCAAAACTACCACTTAATGACATCACAAGGTGGAACTGAGCATTTGGAGCTTTGTAGACGTAAACAGACTACCGGATTTAATATTTATTGTGATTTTAGCCAAGCGTGATGGATGAATTTAACTAATTGTTTATGGAACAGACCATTCAGCACTGGAGCTCTGTAACACTTTATTTTTTTGTAATTGTGTTTTTATACGTGTTTTGTGGATGAATGAAGTGTGCAATGTGGGGCCAGCCTCTCAAATCTGCAAAGCAAATTTACCTACAGGTACGAATAAAGCGACCGAACCTAACCTAATATTTTTCAGACTTTAAATCGCTTTGGGTGTTTCCTGCAGCTTACACTCCGGTGCGAGTTATGTATTAAACTTTTCACACTGAAGCTGTGAGAGGCTCTAGTCTTGTGTGTCAGTATCTGCTGCTCCTGTTCCTCCTGCACCACTGTCACTTGGCTCTACTGCGCATGTCTCCTGCAGAAAGAGCCTCTGTCCTGTCTGTATCATGTCAGTCGATCGCAGCATTACTTCTGTACCACTGAAAATTAAACATTTAAACAAACTTATAAAGACACTGAGAAGACTGAACACGAATGCCCCAAAAAGAAAATCATATTTTGCAGATTACAAGCTGCAAGTAGCGAAATATTCAGCTGAAAATGGTAATCGAGCAGCAGAAAGAAAGTTTGGAGTGAGAAAGAAATTTGTGACACCGGGAGGATGCACCATGCAACTTTTCTGGAAGTCACTGGATGAATCGACAAATTCTGGACTTCAGTGACACCGAAACCATCCTGTCAGGATTCAGAAAGACCGGAATAAAACTAACTGGAACTGATGCTGAGTCTGACGACAGCGACACAGAAGAGGAAGCGGCGCTCTGTTTAGGGTCGTGGAGTTGCTCAGAAGTGACACCGAGGATGAAGAATTGGATGGATTTAGTGATTTGGAGTGAGATGGAGAGTTTGTTAAACTTGTTCTGTTCTGTTTTTTATGTTATAGTTTATCTGAAGAACTGTTCATGTGTGACGTTAAAAGTCTGTTGTTCTCTGTTCTGTTGTTTTTACTATAACTTGACTTTCACGATGAAATGTCGGTTCCTGGTCTCTGATTTGATCAAATAAATGTCCCTCAAAAAGTGCGACTTATATTTGTTTTTTTCTTCTTCAATACACATTTTTTGGCTGGTGCGGCTTAAACTCCGGAGCAACTTATAGTCCGAAAAATACAATGCTAATAAAGTGTTAGTCAAACATGTCTGAACGAAAGAAAACACAACTCCAGCTTTGTTTTGAGGCGGTAACAACATTATAACATAACTAAAAGCTCACAGGAGTCAGTTTTGCATAATATAGGACCTTTAAGAACTAGTTTAGCCTTTGCCTTACCTCGGTTTAGACCTGGTTTACTCTCAAAAACTAGTACTCCTGTTTAGTCACGGTTCAGCGCTGGTTCAGTCCCATTTTAGCCCCGAGTTTTGATGTAGCTGAAGCTTTTGTCTCAGTTCTGATCGAGTAAACACTCATTCAGAGACGGCCCTTGACGTGTGAATTCAAATTTGCACATCGCTGGACTGGAGTTTGTGGAGCTTCTGTGTTAAATGATTGAAAACTCAGCCAACCGACGGAGCCAATGCAAATGGACTTGGATGAATCCGCGCGGACATCCTTCCCACTGCCAACTTGATTACAATTTAAAACAACGTGACAAGATCCCCGCGCACCTGCCAGCATTGTCAAGAGTGCAAAAAAAATATGGAGAATTAATAAAAAATGCAAATTGTTACACGGAAACAGCTCACTGGCTTTGTATCCTCTAAAGGTTTTCAAAAACAAGTGTCACATAAGCTCACTTCTATTGTTGAAAATCAGAGTATTTCAGATGCATAGAAGCGCAGTGTGTGGTTTAGTTATAATCCTCCTAAATGCAAATGCTCTTTATCCCTCTTGCTCAAACAGAATTAACTGTAAATGAGCTGCTCGGTCTGCACTGTGCTGTAATTACATATACGCCAAAACATACAGGGATTAGAACATAAAAGAACGCGTTTTTGTCAGCGATCCACTGGTACAGATGCAATTTAAAAAGCATTTTCTTCAAGATTGAAACTGAAAAAACTGAGCCAATTTTGACGCCTAAACAGGGAGCATCAGCAGAACAAATTAGATATAGATCGATTTATCAGTTGCCCGATATTTGCACTTTTTAGCGTATCAGATATTGTCCTTTAATCTCCAACAGTGGCCGATATTTTGGTACATGTATAAAGCTTATTTAAAGACTTTAGACCAGAGGTGCTCACACTTTTTCAGCATGTGAGCTACTTACAAAATGACCAAGTCACAATGATCTACCTAATACAAAGTTAAGCAAACTGCACTGAAACACTCTGTGCCCCTTTTTAGGACCCTAACCCACAGTTTGAGAACCTCTTCTTTAAGAGAACTTCCTCTGGCACTTTACACAAAACTGTGAAAAAAGTGAAGGAAGATTTTTAAACCTGTTTTTTAAAGTTCCAAACTGGAGTTGCATTCTTTTCTGGTTTTGCTGTGATATTTACCAGTTTTTGCACGTTTACCAAACCAAACGCACATCGTGACAAACACAGAGGCATTTGTGCACTTTTGTTAGGCAAACTTCAGCCAAATGTGGCAGTAGGTCTGTTCTGTAGATCCGCTCTATGCTGTAGACCTGCTTTGTGCCAACACTGTAACACAAATTTAGACTCGTTTTTGCTTCACGTTTGGTCTTGCTCTTCTAATCAGCTGCACTGTGGGAGGGGCTTGTGTTCGCTGTACGCAGGAAGGAGCGAGAGCGTGAAAAGGCGAGGGGCGGCGTGCTGACGTGAGGCAGATGGACAGGTCAGATGTTTAGGAAGTTGAACCTGCCCTGTGATGCACGCTGGTACACGAGGGCACACGCTGTTGCAGACGAGCCGTGCATAGGGAGCGTGTGTGTTTGTGATGCCGTAGAGTCTCCGCGGGTTTCAAATGAGCGCACAGGCTGCACTGAGACGCCCCACACGCTCCTGCACCCCGCTACAAGTTTATTACCAACAGCAGCGGCCGAATGAAATCTGATCGCATTTGTTGAGTGTCAGACCTTGAGTGAGAGACAAGACCGAGTCCAAACGCGAGTCCGAGACGAGACACGGCGATCTACCCACACGACCTTGGCGATCGACTGGTAGATCGCGATCAACGTATTGAGCACCCCTGCTTTAGACCGGATATGTACAGCAAAACAGCTCTTTTGTACAGCAATTTATAGTCAAACAAGGTCGTGGAAGAGTTTGTACAAAATTCTAATTTGATAATTAAGGGAAAACTATCAAAATCACCCCCACATATTGGCTCAAAAATATTGGCACAGCTTATCGGCCATGAAGAAAACAAATCAGTCAATCTCTAGTTCAAATCCTGCTTGAATCATCACTGCTGCTGCTGTGTCTTTTTTAGGCAAAACATTTCACTCAGCTTGCTTCTGTCAGTCTGTCCTAGGAGGGATTGTTTAATATATGAAATTGTATCGCATCTCTTCAGATAGAAAGTGAGCATGGGGGCACTTCAGGCTGCATCAACTCTGGCTACAAATCACTTTGCATTGAGAAATTGTCGCCTCTCTGTGTAACAGCTGCTGTGAGCCTCGTCATTTTGGTCTTAAAATATTTGTATTAACCCACTCTAGATGATCTGCTGTTTTTGCCTGGATCTTTTTCTTAATTTTGCTGCTCCCCCTTTTAGCCCCTAATGAAGTCTTATACATGTTTTTTTTTTCCACTACTCTGTTATTTTATAATCTGCTGCTGTAGTTGTGTCATATGGTTGTAATAAAAGCTATAGGACCAGAAATACAAATGAAAATAAATAAATAAATAGATGAAATAAAATTTACTCTCTTTCATATAAAACACACAGCAAACATGTATAACAACAACTGTCTGGACATAAAAAAGTAAACTAAAAATATCCATATTGCCTCAAAACAAAAAAACTGCAGTCACCCCATGACTTTCCTGGTGCCAGTCATGGAAACAGTTCCTGCATTTCCATGGCGTTTATAACATTTACGTACAATTACGCAGACAAAGATGTGTAATTTGCCGTTTATTTGAGAAATAACTGCACTCAAATAGGCTTTTTCAGTTGTTACGAACACAGACGCTCAGAGCATCGACCATCTTGACTCACTACACTCTTTGGCAAAGTTTGGGCCAATCAAAATGGATGGAGCACATGTGTTTGGCGGAAAACAAAGTCCCTATAGGCGAGTTTCATTGTTGACAAAAGCGCGTGTTGCATGCTGGGAGTTATTTTAGTCGGCGGCAAGAAACACTAATTCAACATGACGGACGGAGCGAGAAAGTACATAAAGGGTATTGATCCCGGTTATTTATCCACTCTAACGGCAGAGGACCGAAGACCATTTGACCAGAAATTGGTCATAAGCATCGATGGAGCCAAATCACCCTTTTCAACCCCGACAAAAGTTGGACCAAACCAAATTTCTGGTCAGAATCGCCAACTACCTGGACAAATATTCACTTGGGCGATATCACAAATGACTTGGTGGAAACTCCTGGGCCATTCACAGCAGAAAAGATGAAAACTCCAAGAGTCTCGATGTGTTGTTGAACTTGTTGAGTCCACGGTTTGTTAGGATCTTCTACTTTGCTCTGCGGATGTTTGAAAGCCGTTTAATTCACCGTTAGCGGTTCTTTTCACT